CTTTTCCGTGCTTGAGGAGGGGGGGGGGGGAGGGCGTCGCCTTCCTGAAAGCGCTCACAAACTGGCAAGCGGCCCAAATGGCTGTGGGTCAAAAATTGGTACCCAAAATGAAACCCTGGCAAATGGAACCAAAGACCAAAACCTGCGGTCCCCCGGTGGTTTAATTTTGACCGTGACCCATACCCAAATAAACAGCAACTTGGAACAATCATTAATTTTGGTGGGGACATGCACGGCAGCTCCCTGAGAAACCGTCCACGGCCAAACCACGAGGCAGGCCCTCTGCAGTGCAGGGCAGCACGTGCTTCAGGTAGTCGCAGAAGAGCACCTGCGGTATGCAAAATGGGTTCAAAAGACTTGGCAAATTGGACCCCTTTAAAGGGAAAAACGATGGGACACCGAAAATTAGGGACGTTGAAGGAAACATGGGTTTGACTTTTGAAGCTCTCTGGCATGGCTTGCATCCTGGCCATCTGGAAGCTACAAATTCTCAGGCCAGTTGGGCATGTGCTCGAATCATAGCAGCATGTGTTGGAATCTTCGGTTGGTGTTTTTGAAGCTCTACCTAATCAACTGAAAAGCCCCGGCCGGGTCAAAACGATAATTGTATGCCTCTCTGATTCGCTGATTGGTCACCTACCCCACCCGGACGTCCACCAAAAAACCGGAGTGCGCTGCTTCACGCCAGCCGGGAACCAAGGAAGCCAAGCGCGATGGAGGCATCCCGGGGGGGGGGGAACATGTAGGACTTAACTACTGGAAAGCTACGGAGTCGATATGACTTGTTGCTCAACAGGTCTGGGCACCTCTGCACCTGGGTACCTCAAGCTGGGAAAAGCCGGGCAGGCCGACCTTGATGGCTTTGAAAAAAGAGAAAGACAAAAGTGAGACAAAGATTGCCCTCTGAAAGCAAACAACCATCCCCTCACGCATTTGTTGATTGGTCGAACCTGAGGCCCAGGCCCAATCAAACTCATGCCAAGTTGCTGGGTAGATGGAGTTGTCGCTCACGCCAGATACCCAGGATAAGAACCCCTCCTCGGAGCTTGACTAGCTGTGCCTGCCTCGCCTGAGCCTCAACAGGGCAGGCACCAAGGCGCTGAACTTGGCAAACCTAACAAAGAGTAGGTCCACCAAAGGGGTACCAAAGGCCAGAAAGAAAAAAAGAAGAAACAAAAAAAGGCAGGCAGCTTCATGCGCACTCCAACCTCCCGGCCTGGTGTTGCAGCCCCCAGTTCCCGCCCCCACCCGGTTTCCGCGCCCTGCCGAGCTGCCAGGAAGCCCCAGAACGGGCCAAAGGCGGCCTGGCAGGCGCTAGCTCAAGCGGGGCCCGTGCTATGAGCATGCGCCCCACGGAAGTGTCATGAACAGAACCAAACAAACGGTCAGGCACTTTTCTTGGGCTGGTTTCCCGTTTGGGTGTTTGCTTGGCTGGTTTGAGCCTCCATTTCAATGGGTCATCCTTTGGATTCGTGATCTCAGCCCTCCAGTGACCGGTGCCATCAGAGTGGCATCCCTGTGCCTGTCTGGCTTGCTTCAATATGGTGCGCCAAGGGCTGAAAAGGACTGCTACAGCCAAGTCGTTGTAACACGCCGGACCATGTTTTTCAAGCGCATTGAAAACTAACTATATAGCACCATCCCAGAAACCCCCAAAACATGTCCACTTACCCCCACCCCACCCAACTCCCCCAATCTTCCCCCGAAAGAGACACCTCATTCTTTTCCCAACTTCCTCCCCCCCAAACCAATTCAAAAAAATCACCCCCACACACACACACACACACACACACACACACACCAGGAACCGCAAACCTACCCCTCCTCCCCTCCCCCCAAACCAATCCACCAACCCCCCCCTTAGAACCCCCCCCCTGCGCCCCCCCGCCACCCAAGAGCCCCGCCGTCACCCAGGTGACGTACCCGGAGTTGGAGGGGAAGGTGGTGGCCAGCTCCGCGGCCACAAGCGCCTCCGGCACCGACCACACCGCCGGCATCAGCAGGAAGCCCAGGAGGCCCAGCAGCGGGCCTCCCGGCTACAGGCGGTTGGCAGGCGCGCGCGAGGGGTGCGAACGGTGCGAGGGCCTGGCAGGTGGGGGGCAGGAGGGGTGGAGGGGTGGAGGGGGTGGAGGGTGGAGGGGGTGGAAGAGGTGGAAGGGGGGGGGTGGAGGGGGTGGAGGGGGAAGGGCTCAAGGGGCTGGAGTTCCTGGGGCTTGGATGTGGCTTGGTTGTTGGGGAAGAGGTCGTCTGAGGGAAGGGCATGGCAGCTGGCACTGAAGAGAACATGCGACATGGCATGTGCATGTGCCTTGACAGGCCGTCAGCGCACACAAGGCTAGTGCAAGCAACACGGGGCCCCGAAAAGAACCCTGGCCGCTTGCAGTTGCGCAGGCTCTCAGCGCCTGCCGCTGAAATCACGTCCTCGGTGCCGAATGGGCCACCGGCCACAGAATAATAGATGATGGCTACCTCAGCTGCCCGGGGTGACTTCTGGACAGAAAGGCGGGATTCGAAGTGCTTGTGTACAAGGCACCGGCCAGGGCTGCCTGACTGGTCCTTAACAACTTCAACTTGCAATCACAACTCAAATCAGCCGTATTGCAGGGACAACCATGGGGCATAATGCTTGAATGCATGGTATGTTTGAGAATCTGCTCCGCACGTCTCGCGCCCAACTGCAACTTGTCAAGAGAAATTAACATGAGTCATGAGTGTCGCTCTCATTGGTAGGCAGGAAACCCTTCACTCATCTGGTTCGATGTCAGGAAAAAGCGCTTCCCACTTGCGGCCTTGCCTCTAGCTGTTGGCGCTGGAGGATTGCAAGGTGCCCCCCCCAAGGTATCTGACTGAAAAGACGCCGAATCAACAGCAATGCTTTCCCGGTCATTCCCCGTTTCTTGGTCCTGGATTCCGATTTTGGAGCCACGCCCACTCGCCATGATGCCAGGCCAGGCGTTGAGAGGTACCGGCCCCTCTTCTGCCTAGCATGACTGGTGTGAGGGGACTAGTTCGCCGTTTGAATGCTGTGTGCTGTGTGCTGGTCAGGAGCGGACTTTTCAAATATAGGGGCCCTGCGTTACTTGTTCATGGACCCCCCGCGAATTGCCATAAATGGTCACCAAAAACCATGCTGCCTTTGGGACATTTTGGCCTAGTGCCTGGCTAAGAAACTGCCTCCACTGGCCTTAGCAACTTAGCTGAGGCAAACCGGTTCATCATTTTCACTCAGGCAGTCTCGGCAGGGGGTCGCTCAGGCAGCAGTGCTTGCAACGACTGTCAAACATGCCGGAGCTGAACAAGCCAAGAGCTTGATACCCTGGTTATTCAGTTGATAATGGCAAGAACCCATAAACCTCATTCGAAGCAGCATGTCTAAAGTTACATTTGCCAACATGTGATTCAAGCTGCGGGGCAAACACCTTCGCAACGAAATTGCAGTAATAAAACAAATAAAATGACCGGTCGCGCTGCCATGGATATCCACAAGTTACTCAGGCCCAGCAGGTTTACAAAGCTTCTTCCCTGTGCGATGAACGGCAGCCACACCCAGCCCCGAGCGAGTTGGAAAATGAGCCACGCGGCGATGCAAAAAACTAGCGCGCAATTGCACACACACCCTACCCGTCCGCCAGTCTGGCAAGACATTGCCTGAAGGAGGACGGCCAATGCTCATCCAGGATCAGTGGGGTCGCGTGGCCCTTGGCCTCGGAAAGCAGCTGCGCAGCAGCAATCAAAGAAATGACATGGGCAACAAGCCAGGGAGATGACAATATCTGGCCAAACTCCCCAAACTCGGGGTTGGCTAAGGCTTGGTGCTAAACTGCCAGGCCACCAAATGGGGAGTTGTATCCACAGTCATCCCAGTCCTTGGTTCGGATGGATGAGCTTCAGGCTGAATGTCTACCAAAGCAATGCCCTTGCAAAGGCAGCAGGCACACCTTCTTGCGACTGCGGAGGAAGTCAACCATCACTCTCTGATTCAATGGGCATGAGCAGCCAGAGTTGCATCAAATGTGCTGCAACATCCCTGGTGTTGGTGGGAAGCGGTCCCAATACTTTGAGCAGCCCGACAGAACCTTCTCCCCATCCACGACTGCCGCTTAGGCTCAGATCGCAACGACCGAGTGGCTCAAGCAACTCTGCCACATGGCGCCGCTTCGACGTGGCTTCTGCGGCTGTTTGGCATGGGCTGGAAAAAGAGAAGCTTGCGTGAATTCAGATGGATGGGCCTGCTGAGTTGTTCCGATGGCGAACACGTTGCTTGCCACCAATCGTCAAACACATGAATCATTCAAATAATCGTTGCCTACAGTTGGTTCCTTCTCATCTTCCCTCTAGCTCTAGCACCCTAAAAGGTCCAGAAGAACACTTCAGGCACGAGCAGGATCGGGAGCCTCAACATCCAGAAAGCTTTCTCACAGATTGGCGTCAGCCATGGCTAACCTTTTTTGTTCATGGCGCTTCTCATTCAAGCGTTGGGCCGTGAGCCACGAGGTCGGGCGGTCGGCTTCAGGAGCCGCTGCTCTTGTCGCTGCACCGCCTAAACCGACCACAGCACCAGCCAAATGAAGATTCGTAACGGTATTTGAAAGGTGCAGGCAATGGATTTTGTGCATCTATGAGGCGGTCCCAAGCACGGCTGCTGCACAGCTTATGCCTGCTTTCTGCAAGGCAGTGACAGACAGCGTGCCTCCAACCACTCAACTGTGCCCACGCAGCACGGTTTTCTGTGGTCAAGCTTGCGTGTCTATCCGCATTACCCATTTTGAAGCGTTGGTTTCGTTGTGGCGTAAGAGTCATGGATTGCTGGAAACAAGCGATGCGCTCGCTCAGTCAGAACACGTGATTGGCTTTGATCAAGGCATATCAAGACCCTTTTGTGATGGATCAACCTCTTAGCTTATGACCCGCTTTTTGGAGCGGGGAGAGCTGCAAGATGCAAGCTCCCCTGAACTGTATGCCAAGCTGCTACCTTTGGCTTTTGGGGGTCGCCCGCCTGCCTTGCTTGGATGCCTCCGCCCGCAGCGAGGCGTTGTGAAGCAGCGCCTGGCGTGGCAATGGCTTCAGCGGCCCAAGCGGTCAGGATTGAGGATAAGGAGGCCCGGGATACATGGCACAATTTATCTCTGGAACCCCACCACCTACCACAGCAGTCGACTGGCAAATGCATGCAAATGTCACCAGACCCCCTTCACCTACAGCGACTTTCACCTTTTGCCTTGAGGAAGCCTGGGGCTGGGCTTGTTGGCATCATAGGCGCCTCTGAGCTCAGAAGCTGCAACTGAGTTGAAGCGTGCGCCTTGAGGGCAGCTGGGAGCTCATCGTCGGAGGAGAGCACCAACTCCTGGATGCAAGACACCCCGCCACCGCATAGCACCCAAGGGGCTGCGCACCCAGGAAACCAAACGTTTTTCAAGGGGTGGCCACGCCCCACTTGCCAAAAAGGAATGTGGAAACTGGAAACCATGGAGGGGAGACCAAAAGCTCGATGGCTGGTGAGCGTCGGAGTCCGTCGGGGCCCAAGATCCATGTCCCAGCTCCTTGGGATAGCAGGCCGGAAGGCCTCCACGCCCATTTAGGCCGCAGTGGGGGTCCTGGACCTGGAAAAGGTCGTCACCAGTGCAACCACTGCCAGATGCAGTCCAAGGCGAATTGAATTTGATTCTTTGCCAAATGACTGTGCAAACCACAGCTCAAGCCGCTGAAGCGTGCTCTTGAATGGACCCCGTTCTGGCTGAGATCGCCGGATGCTAGGCAAAAGGGCGGTTGGTCACCCTTTTCAGGTGATGGCAGCAACTCCGCCCAAGCTGACTGTGGCAAGCGCTGAGCCCCGTCACGGAAGATGGATCTCTCTGCTCCCTCTCCGTGTCCTCATCTGGTGGCCAGAGCCCCTAGCACGGAAGGTGCCCTAGGGAGATCTGGTCCAAGCCATGTGGCCCGTCTCATACCATCAAGTCTCATGGCAATGCTCTCTCTCAATGTGTCTCTCTGCAAGTACGTATTTCCCTTGCCCCGGGCCCAACCTGGCCAAATGCCGTACACTTAGCATGTTACAAGAGGTTAGCCCATCACGTGCTTTGGCAGAAGTGTCGCTGAAGTGACCGCCTCAACAGCTTTCACGGGTGCTTGCAGGACAGATTCCTTTTCAGTTCCAGGCAAGTTCGAAGTCTGTCCATCATTGGCTCAAGTTGCTTCAGTAGGATGGGAACCTGTGATTTGGTCACAGCAGCCTTCGAACCGGCAAGAAATGCACAAGCCCCAAGACCCTGGCTCCATGTGGGTGGCCCTGCTGATTGGATACACTCATGGACGCCCATGACCAAGCTAAATCACCGATTCCAGGAAGCTGGAGGGCCCACCTTCCCTTTCCAGCATCTCACATTGAGCCTGGGTTCACTTGCCAAGCTGCTCAACAAAGGCTAGAATGAACTGACTACAGGGCCGAAAGTTACCGAAAAAAGCGAGCCTTGACAGGGTGTGAGCGTTGCTCAAAGGTGGGTATGCCCGGATCACCAAAGTCACAGCCTGAAAGCGCACGCCCTCCTGGCAAGCACTTCCCACCCAGCCCGAGCCTCCAGCACATCCAAATGCCCGCGGGCATCGCCCCAAACGATGGTGGGTATGCCAACCTCAGCAACTTCAGGCTAGACTGAAGGGGCAAGGCGGCATCAGACCAGACTTGTTGCAAAAACTGAAAAAAGAGATCGTGGAGTTTTGCTGGCGCATACTCATCACACAGATCAGGCCCCACAGTGTGCACAGCATTCCGCTGGCAGCCAACACAAAGCCCACATGGTGGAACCTGGGAATGCGCAGGTGAAGAGGCGGCAAAAGCAATAGAAACGGAAGGTCAAGCAATCGGCTGCACCTATGCAACCTGCTTTAGATAAAACTTACTCCGCATCTCACGTCATCTCTCTCTTGTTGATGCAGTTGGCATCAAATCGTTGGTATTTACTCAGCCGCCTGCTTTCTTTTGCATGGGAGTCACCCTTTGCAACCAACAGTGAACATCAGTGAACTGAAGAGCCCGCACTGCACAGGCGTTTGGGAAGCTATGACCTCCTGACCTGCGCTGCCAAGAGTCCTTGCGACCGCCCATGTTCATATCCGGATGGAATCCGCACGCCCATCTCCAAGGGCCCGGCACTCAGCATGTTCACCTGGGGCAAAACGCTCTGCTCAGGCTTCAGGCACTTGTGACCACAATTCAGGCCCTCAATGCGGATAACGGAGTCTGTGAATCCCATCGCCAAAAACCAAACCTCACTCAATAACGCCTGGGACCTCTTCACATGGCTGTGGTTCAAAACCCTGTACCCCCAGTGAACATCCCAATCCCCACTAAAATAGACTAAAATGGGTGGTGCACCAACCCCATTAGTTTTGACCCACAGCCATATGGAGGGGAAGGGGCTTGGTAAGTCCAAGCTGGAAAACAAGAGAGCCCTGCGGTCAGTAAGCCTTTTTCAATGTGGAAGACACGGCCGCCGCACACCTGGGCTGCCCCGCCAGCCGCTGACCGGTCTTCCAGCGGCTGCAGGACCACCACTCCGAGCGACAACCGGACCTGTGAGCGGCTGGCAAGCAGAAAATCCAAGGACTGCTGACAAGCCACCGCAGCAAGCAAGACTCGCACAGTACGCAAAAGTTTGATCTGGATTGCATATACTTTCTACAGTGGAAAGAACGCTGCCACAAGGAAACCAATTATTTAAATCCAGGGTGTGTGGTTTGGCATTCCTTACGGGCAGCTTGCACTCAGCAGCATGGGCTTCCATTAAACACCTCACAAACTTGCCAGGGCGCTGCTTGGCAAACCCCACCTGGAGCGTAGTCAGCCTGAAGCCACAATGAGTGCGCCCAAGTCCTCCCCAAATGTTCCTGCGTGAGCCCTTGCACTTGCTGCACACTTGACGCCTGTCTGAACTGAACAAGACAAGCGTGACATATGCAAACATGCAAATGGGGGATTCTCTCTTTCAAAGCCACCTTGATCCTTGTCAATACTCGTGAACATCCAATTTGCAAAGCTTCAGGTTGCGGAAGCGTCAAGTAAGCACATTGCCAATGGCTCTCTTCTGCAAACGGGCGGCTGTTGGTACAAGGCGTCGGTGTGCTGTGGCGTGGTGATCTTCCCCTCGTTGGGCCTCTGCTGACTTGCCTACTTCCCATCCCCGCAGATCCAACCTGAGGCCCACAAGCATCCAACGGCCCTTCACTCGATTTGCTCATATGGTCCCTCAAAGATCCAAATTTCTGCGTGGTCTCCTGTTCCCCCAGTTTGCCGGGGCTTCTTGAACCCAAGATGAACTCCATGGCCCGTTGGCTTCAGAACGACCCTTGCCATAATGCACCGCCCTAAGGAAGCACAACTTTGAGCCCATCTTGCACCCCGAACCGAACGAAACAGTCCCCTGCACCCACCCCCACCCTCAAGTTGCAGCCAGTGCGCTCAAAGAGCTTCATGGGATCCAAGTGCACGAAGCGCGGCGCCCCAGGGCCCTGCGAAGCGAGACATCTTCACGCACGTCGAGGCAGCACAAACCGCTGTGACCAGGTCACACACCCACCGCGTGATATGCGCGACTCGCCAGGTCGTGCAATCTTGACATGTGGAGTTCTGAGGTGTAATCAGTGAATGCCTGCAATTTGATGGACCCGGTGAAACACTAGGATACCCCCCAAGGCAGAAGTAGCCCCTTGTCATCCCTTGTCTCCCAGCCCAGCCCCTCCATCACTACTGTGGTTGGACCACCAAAGAAACCATGGAATGATGATTTGCCTGCAATTAAGTACCAAAGAAATGGGTTGCCATAGTTTTCAGCGATGCAGGACTTTGTCCATCCACAGCTCGGACGCTAGGATCGACGGGGTCCAACAAAATGCCCTGCCAAGCTTGCTTCCCGCTTCCCATGCTGGCCTCCCCTGCCAGCACCTCATTCACCCAGCCTTGCCAGGGCACTGAGAAAACCATGAACATAGGGATTCCCAACACCGCGTGCTCGCGGCAGTCACGTGCCGGGCACCACCCCACTCTCAAACGCATATGCACATGGCATGTCATCTTTTCGTCGTCCGTGTCTGTTCAGCACGTGCTCCCACCTGAATCTGACAACAAGGGCTGCACAACTCATAACCCTGAGCAGAAGAAGCGCTGCCCATGGTAGCACCTGGTGTTCCACCCATTGCGTCATGATGTGGAGACCCTTGCACATTCGATTCAAATGATGTTTCGCCTGCGGGGCGCTAGCAAACTAAAACATACGCAACTCCAAGTACAGTATTTTGCTGATTGCTCTGTCTCTCTCTCTCTCTCTCTCTCCCTCTCTCTCAAGTACAAAATTAGTGCAGCTCTGCGTGTCTTAGAGTTGTAGAATTGCTGGACAAGAGACGTGCTGGGCCAGGATAAGACCAACTAGCTGCCTGAATGCGGTGCCTCATCCATCAATCAGGGCACAGCTTGCCCCAGAAGCCCCCCCATTTTCGTACCGCAAGCTCGGAGTTCGCCTTGGGCGAAGGCCTTTGCCTCCTTTAAATCGCGGCGCACGCGCACGCAAAGCTCCCTTTGGCCCCGGTCTTTCCCCGTTGGCACTTGAAGGCCAGGCCGAAAAACGGACCTACCGACCCGGGGTCATCAAAAAACAACAGAGGAGCAAATAGCAAATGGCTCAGATTCCCAAACAACTGCCGATGGGTGGGTTTCGGTTACGGCCCTTGCACGTAAAACTGGAAAACTGACATCTGCGCACATTGCCAGAATTGGCCATCAACCCATTGAATTTTGAAAGGAAGACACACTTTAGCCCAGTTGCTTGGGGCAGTCATGCCTGACATCATGCCAAGCATCTCTAAAAAGTTGGGGCGGCGTTGGCAACGCAGCGAAGGACACAGGCGTATGTACACTGGCTCAGCCCCTCTGAAGCCGCAAAAAAGCTGCCGGACATGGGCTCACAGCCCCTTGCATCCGGTCAGCAGCTGCACTTCAGCCTCCGAGAGGCTGCCCTTCTTGCGCATGGCGCGGGCGTTCTTCAAACGGACCCCCTGGCTCCTCTCCTCTTGCTCTGCGGATGGATGGCGGCTCGGCAATCGCTTTTCCTGACGCAAGTTCCAGTCAGGAAAGGGATGGCAGACTTGGGGTGCATTACTACATTGCTCGGCGTTTGCCAGCAATCATGCCAATTTAGCTACTGATGGATCAAGGCCAAAAAGACAAAGTAAGTTGCCGCTTTTCCTGCCCTTCATGGGCGGCTCTGCTTGGCATCTTTTGCTTGATTTGGCTAGCTGCCAGTTCTTTCCATCTGTCAATTGCCCCAACGCACAGCTGCCTGTCAAGATTACGCTCTTTCCTAGTTGTTCACTTGGCTTGCCCTAGGAGTGGCTCGCGGACAACACAAGAATCAACAACAACAAAAAAACGACCGATTGAGACAAGGCGCCCGGTGGATCCAATCCACCAGTTCCTGCACCCAGGACCGGACCTCGACCGGCTCCCTGGGCTGACATGGCTGCAGAACCCGAGTGCCCACCCCCCTCCCCCCAGGGCCCCACCAGCCAAAGTACGTCCAAAATGTTCAAACATGTGCTCCGTTTGCTGGCAGGAGAGGACATAGACCCGATTCAATGATACTTGCATACAATTCAAAGCCGTGTATTTGCACATCCTGCCAATAGCCTGGGAAAAGCACCAGGCACCCTCATGCCAGTTCGCGCTTGCAGCAACGCTTCGAGCTGTCAAAGTCGACCAAGGTTTTGTACCAGTACGGATTTGTTTGAGACCTACACATTGAAGGCTAAGCAATGCTTACAGGGCTTGATCACCAAGCGGCGCGCTGTTCGCTCGCAGCTGATCCATCCAGGGCTCAAGCATCTGCAGCTCCTCATCGCTGAGGCTGTTTTGACGCAGCTCAGCACGCGCCATGGCCCATCGCTTCGTCATGAGCTTTTCCTCACGCTTTGGCTTTCCATTCCTCTGAAGAAACTCGCTGAGCTCCTAGCAGGGTGGAATGCCCCTTCCCACAACTTTCTTGCCATCTACAAGGAAGGGGTGCCCTCTAAAAGGGCGGCTTTTGAACTTTTGCCAAGGTTGTTTACATAAATGAGCAAGTTGGCAAGCAGATCTTGCATCAAGATGCATTCCCACAGGTTTTACAAAAAGAAGAAACACCTTATCCAAATCCGCTGTGGATCATCTTGGCCTGAGAGCCACCCCGCAGTTTCATCGGGATCAGCCAGCTTTAACCCAATGTTTTGCAAACCTCACGTCGCGTTCGTTTCAACTGGCTGGCTAATTGCAACACGACCTCAACAACTGTTCCAGCCCGAAAGCTTCCTGCAGCCACTGCCTAGGCTGAGTCGCTGCTTTCTCATCATTCTCCGTCAGCGCAAGCGCCTTGGAAAAGCGCTCGGCCTCCACGGCCGAAAGCTTCTTCTGGCGAAGCGCCTTCCTTGCTTTGTGAAGCCTTGGCTGCGCATCTCCCCTGACAGCTACCAGACAAAGCCACCCAAAGAAGAAGAGAGTGCGGGTGCACAAATGATGACTCAGACAAGAACATGCAGTTGCCCTGCGATAATTAGGAATTGCACACGTAGCGTCTCATGCCACATTTCAACGCCAAAAAGCCTCACCGCTTGACGATGCTCATGCGAATCGGCCAGCTGCCCCCTTGAAGGTAATCTTCCGCGCTCTTCCAGAAACAAGCACAGCTCCTAATCGGGGCCTGCTCTGCTCACCCATGCTTGATGCTTGACTCCCTCACATTTTCAAGAAGAGCCCCGTACCATTTGCCTACCATTCAGACTGGCTTGTTTGAGCCACGCATTTTTGACCCGAGCCTTGCTCTCACATAAGCGCGGAGGGATGGTCCAAACCACGGCCTTAAAAGAACATCAACTTCCACAGCTTGCTTCGGTCCTGGAGCCAATCTCGGAGCTGCTTCCGATTCTGGAGATTGACACGTTGGCAGCTGGCGAAGACTTGCTGCTCAGCCTCATCCAGCCGTCCATGTTGGAGATACCTGGGTTGGACGGTCTCCAAGCCAAACAATTGCAGCCTGGATGCTTCGTTCAGCATAGTGGATGGATTGTCCGTATGTTTCAAACGAAGCCCTGGTGCCCAATCCCAGCAGGAGGGCCAAATCACAAACATGAAGCTGCAAAAGAGGAAACGGACACATAATGTGACGCTCCCATCAAGGCACCTCGCTGCATTCTGCCAGCGTCGAGCCTGCCGTCGTTCGACGGCATCCTCTGAAAGCAGATTTGGCTTGCGGCCTGCCTGTACCACCCAGGCCTGCAAACTTCGCAGCCACTTCTTCCTTTCAGAGGGCTCCTGCAGGGCCCGCACTTGACCCCATAAGTGGTTGCCCCTCTTGGGATCCTGGTGTCGTGGTCTGCCTTTCGGTTTGACAGCCTCCTTGCTGAGCCCCACACTTGCGGACGACGACTTTAGACAGCAAATTCACTCAGACCCTGGGAAAGCTAGTAGGCCTGAGACAGGCCCAATCATCCCCCAAGGCAGAATGGCACAAACAGGGCAAAGCTCGCAGCGCTTCTGCGAACGCCTGACGGCCGCCAAACGACCGACCTCCGGCCTCTTCGATTCTTGTCAGAAGCTCCTCGCACACAGCCCAGAGATCCATATCTTTCTCCCCCAGTTCGCCATCACGTGCTCGTCGCCGCGCTTTCTGCAGCCACTCTGCCAGCCGCTCTTCGCCTCCGGAGCGGCTGGGAAGGCGCCTGTGCTCCATGAGCCAGGCGTGCAGGCTCCGGATCCAAGGCCTTGGGCAAGGAATGACATGTGCTGGGAAAGCCAGTGAATTCGACCACAGAAAGCGGTCAAGGAAAAACTCCAAAAGGGTAGTGAGCAGCAAGCCAGTTAGCAGGCCTTTACAATCAGCTGGATAGAACCTGCGAACGCTGCCAGTCCCACGTTGCCCAGCCTGGTTCGTTGAACAGGCCGACCCTGTCGCGCCAGCAGGTCCCAGAAGTTGGCCTCGAGCAGCACGCCAAGATTTGATTTTGGGAAGCAAGCGGGGGCTTGGTGCGGGCTCAGCCGGGATCATAAATCATGACTGCCACCCTGGTGGTATGATGTGCAGGCATGCGCCAGAAGTTCAGAATGCGATCCCAGAAAAAACAGCAATACACCAGCATAGACCCCAGATAGCAGTGCTTGCACACCAGCACCTCCAAAAGCACCCCCCCCCCCCCCCGAAAAACGCTCCAAGCAAAACCCAGCCGTCAATCGAACAAAAATGCGCCCGCACCATCACCCTGAAGAGCACCCAAAAAAAATGCAAACATGCGCCTGCACCGTCACCTGCATCCCAGATAGCACCCGAGCGTCAATATCGCAAAAATGCGCCCGCACCGTCACCAGCACCTCAAACAGCTCCCCACAAACTGCGTCACACAGCCCCACCCCACCAGCACAAGCACCCCAAACTGCATTCCCCTGCGTCCTACCGTCAAGATGCAAAAATACGCGCGCACCGTCACCCCCAAAAACAGCACCTGCACAAGCACCCCAAACTGCATGCCCCCTAGCACCTACCTGAAAAGATGCGCCCGCATTGCCATCAGCACCTCAAACAGCACCCCAATCAGCACCTACACCAGCACCCCAAACTGCACGCCCCCTAGCACCAGCCCATCAATCTCGCACATCACTTCCCCCTCTTCAGTAGAAGTTAGAACCCCTATAGCGTTCAGCGATCTGGGGAAATATAGATTGAACACGGATCTTGTCCTTCAAGTGTCCTCTTCTTTCTTTCCGGCTGTTTCCATCTCAGTGAGACATAGTGAGGCCAAACTTGCCCACTTCTGTCTGACAAAAACAATAATCAACAAGTGCGACGACATCAACGACCGCTAGCACTACTTATTACCGCTGCCACGACCACTGCTCAGCAGCTGTCAGTACACTCAAACCCTTTCAAGTGCTGCCCTCG